GCAAATCTTATTATTAATATAAATTATACAGAACATTATTTTGTACTGCTACTATTCTATTTTCTTATTTATGTATTGCATAGAACAGTTGTTTAATAGTTTGATGTATATATTATAATGCTATCTATTAAGAACTTTTCTGAAGCAGAGTTTCTGTTTTTTAATAGCTTGAAGGATTTGCTCTGATTCTCTAATGGAAAACTATTTGTATTATATCTTGTTCGAGAAATACATTTTGCAGCTATAATAGATGCAGGAAATCTATGCTAGTTTGTAATATAGGTTATGAAGTAAGCTGATCTGAAGATTCTCGTCTTATTATATCTTGATATCTTGTAAGAGAATGCAAATAAAGAACTCTTTTAGCTTTATTCTGTAGATAAGATACTCAATTTATATTATTTCCTTATTTCACTCAATACTAAAGAGAAACCTTTCTGTAAGCTTGTTAGATTCATTGTTCATGAGAAGCTCTGATAGATTGCTAGATCATTCGTTCTAATCGGTTTCTTTTGCTGCTTGTAAAGCGTTTTCGGTATTATTCAGATATTTATACTAATAACTAAGAGAGTATTATCTCTTATCTGTATCCCTGGTTATAGTGCTTAGCATAAGTAATAATAAATGTTGAAGAGTATTGTTGCTAAGCTCTTTCTCCAACGCTTGAATGCTACATTCAATAATATTGAAGCAGTTTAAGTTATTACTGCTTGTAGTAATGCTGAGCATATATACTCGCTCTGCTATTGCTATCTATCTGCAGCACTTAGATTTCTAGAAGAATCATTCTAAGCTTTCCTTACTCAAGAGATATATTAAGCAGTTATTATTATAATAGAATATTCAGCTAAAACTTCCGTAATTAATAGAATTCGATACTTGCTCCAAGGGAATATTTTTGCTTAGTTGATTGAGTTTCTATTGCTAAGCAATATTCATCTAGCATTCTTTCTGAACTAGTTGCTATTTATTCTTTCGGAATTGATAGCAATTATATGCTATATATCTCTGCTTGTTGCAGTTATAGCAAGTAATACTGCTCTTCTTGCTGTATTGCTTATTAGCTGTATTGAGCTCTATAAAGCTAGTATGCATAATGCTGCTCTGAGCTATATTGCTCTGTTAACTGCTATTCTTATATTAGAGTTTCTTGCTTATATTAGCTGAAAATCTCTAAATCTAGCTTTCTTCTTTCTTAAACTTTTTTATTTATTATTCATATAAACAGTTGTTAATGCAGATTGCTTGATTAGAAAATATTGCAAAGTCTTCTAGCTAATTCTGCTTAAAGATTTCATTCTTAATATCATTCTTGAATCTCTTATAATAGTATTTCATAAGATTCTTATCTTTCTATAGAAGTTTTGCTAAGAGCTATTTGAATCTAATTATATAAGCTAAAGCTAATTTAATCTATTTGAGATTTATAAGCTACTAAGCTGTAATATATTCTTTATTAGAATTATTAAAGATCTTCTTAAAAGCTTTCTTAAAGCTTTTAAAGAAATCAAATATATTCTTAATACTCTAAGTATGCATATTGGAATTATTCTGATACTCTAGATGATTGTATAGAGAAAGCTTATATTAGATAAGAGCATTCTTTTCGAGATGAGTTCCTACAAGGATAACTTTCTCAGATTTCCTAATAAACTGAATTATATGATGCAGAAAGTATGCTCTACAGTAGATAAGAAATCTATATAGTATCTTCTAATTGCTATTATATATAGCGAGTTTGTTCATCTTATATACTTTTTCAGTGCTACTAGTGATTGCAGAGATGAACTGTGCCTGCTGAGCCTGTTAAGCTAGCTAAGCTTGTTGGTTAGCAATAGTAGCGCTCTGAGCCTGCTATTGTTCGCGCAGATTCTGAATACGCTAAGTAAGCTGATACATCTGATTAATCAGTTCTTCCTGAGTAGAAGCGCATGAAGAGATTCCTGAAGAAGCTATCGTATTCTGTATTGCTTAAGAAGTAATACTGAACTGTTCTTGAACAAGAGTTGTTAAAATGTAATAAGCATTGCAGCAATCCGAAGATTTCAAAGTATACAAAGAGGGTTTATACTAACAAAAGCAGTATCAAAGTATTAAGTTCTTGAATACGGAACTGTACAAGTTCTCAATAAGCGATGCAAGTATTCACTGCCTTTGAAGCTATTAGAGTAGAGAGTAATCTGATACTTAGATTAATAACTGAAGAGCTATATACTGCATCTATCTAATAGTAATGAATATATTCTTATATATCCAGCTCTTCAGTATAGCTCATCTTAGCTCACTACTGATTCAGATGATCCAGGCTTACTGGATCATCTAATGATCCAGTAATCCATCCCTGTTGTAATTCTAACTCTGAGTTGTATAATCAATGTTTAGTTAGAACGTTGGGTTCTTGATATCTGATCCTTGTTACTCGTGACCTGTTTCGTGACCTGCATGTTGGATGAGTCATAACAAGTAGCAAACTCCTTTGCAATTACAGAACAAACTCCAGCAGCAATACAAGCTCGCTTCTCTCTAGCTTTCTCATGCTTTAGCTTCTTCATACTGAAAAAGCCTTGATAAACAGCTTTTATTATTCTTTCAAATTACAGATGCTTTTGCTTTCGCAAACATTCCATCTCTGTAGCAGCATTGCATAGCTGCTTCTCAGTATTCTCGAGTTAGTTCTCCAAGTATTAATATTGGATGCCTATCTAATGAATTTCCGCTATACTCAGCCTCTGAATGTTGTACTGGGAGCAGCTTAGGCGAATACATTCAGTGCAACAGAAGGAATCTTCAACAGAGATTTAACAAAACTGAATACTATAATCCTTGCAGAAAGAATAGAAAGGCATAATAATAGCATTTTGAAGGATTAAGAAAAGAAGAGAATCCTTTTATTTAGTCTTCTCAGCACAAGAATAAGATTTGTTAATTCTATTTAATATCTCAATTAGGAAAGCAAGATCATATATACGGAAGACTGATTAGAATACTTATAAAAGATTATTAAGAATAATAACTGATAAAAGGGAAATAATATTATAATTTATTCAATATGCAGATTATGAATAGATTATAAGTAATAAGAACTAGATATTAAGAATTCAATATTCTAATAAAATATTAATTATATAGCTCAGAATTAGAGTTACAAGCATAACTAATCAGAAAGAATAGCTTTGTATATATGCTATTCAAAGCTAGCAGAATAACTTAAATATATTGCTATTCAATATATTCATACTAAAGAGCTGAATATATAATCATACATTCATTACTATTAAATAGATTATTATATATAGCTCTTCAATTGTTAATCTAAGTATCAGATTACTCTCTTACTCTAATAGCTTTAAAGGCAGTGAATACTTGCATAGTTATCCCAGTTGTATTTCTGTATTCAAGGCTTATACTTAGCACTGCTCTTGTTAGCATAAACTCTTTGTATACTTTGGAATCTTCGGATTACTGCAGTGCTTATTACATACTTGCTCTAAGAAAATGTTTTTGCTTAGCTGATTGAATTGCTATACTTATATTATATTAAGCTATTATTCTTTAGAAACAGATTTTTATTATTAAAGCTTTTTAAGCTAGCAATAATCTTATATAATATAGCTTAGTGTAATGAGCACTGCAGCAATTCGAAGATTCCTAAGTACACGAAGAGGTTTATGCTAATAAGAGCGGTATTAAAGTGCCAAGTCCTTGAATACGAAACTATACAAGTCTTAGTAAGCGATACAAGTATTCACTGCCTTTAAAGCTACTTAGTATATGAAACTGAATACTTAGATTAACAACTAAAGAGCTATATACTGAATTTATCTAGTAATAATGAATGTATTCTTATATATTCAGCTCTTCAGTATAGCTTATTAAGATCGCTAGCAAGTCTAGCAATTCAAGATATAAAGCTTATTAGGATTACTAGCAAGCTTAACAATCCTTCCTTCTTTACAATTCTAACTCTGGATTATATAATCAATATTTTATTAGAATATTAGATTCTTAATATCTGATTCTTATTATTTGTAACTTATTTTCATAATCTGCATATTAGATAGATTATAATATTATTTTCCTTCTATTAGTTATTATTTCTAATAATCTTCTATAAGTATTCTAGCAAATCTCCATATTTATAATCTTGCCTTCCTAATCAAGATGCTGAATAGAATTAATAAAGTTGCAAAACTGAAATTCTCGAATTCTCGCTTTAATAAAAAGAAGCAGAAAGATTTCCTTCTTCAGTTTATTCTTTCAAATAGTTTCGATATACATCCCTATTCTTATTGTAATAATTAAAGCTTGCAATTATATATCGTTTTTTCTTATAATTCATTCTATTGCTTGGAATGCATTTCTCAGAATTGCATCAAGTATAATATTCTAAAGCTAACGAATGCTGCTGAATTCCTTCTTATCTCTACTTAGTATTAAAAGCTAGAGAATGAAATAGAAGAGTTGGAATTGAAATTGCTTTAATTATATTAATAAAAGAAGATATAATATAAGAAGATATCTTAAGCTATTTATTGAAATCTTAAGAATCTTAAAGAGCTTAAGAAAGAGAAAGCTGAGAAAGCTGAAGCTAAGAAAGTGCATATTGCTGCTGAAGTGCAGGCTGTAGTAGCTGAGAAATCTGCTATTGTAGCTAGAGATTCTTCTTTTGAGAGTTTTAACTGGAATTCTGTGAATCTGGAGAATTCTGTAGTTAACTAATTGAGTTTCCTGGAGAATAAGATCTCTAAGAGCTCTGGATCTCGATTTGAGATGAAGCGATCATCTTAGATGCTAGTTTTCCTTTTTCAATATTCAGCTATTTTTTTCTAAGCATTTTTAATATTTTTCTGCAGTTCTTAAGAATTTTCGCTTGCTAGATAATCTTTTTATTTAATAAGATATTTCTTTGTATTATCTGTACTTCTATGCTTAAGAATCTTCTTTATCTTATATTCTAATTCATTATTTTTCACTTCTGCTATATTATCTATTAATATTTTCTATACTGCTAGTTTCAGCAATAAAATATAAAAAACTAAGTATATTCTCATCTTATAAGATAATACTAACTTGTAATTAACTGAGAAAATCTGTTGCAAGATTTTGAAGAATTCTAACTTCTTATAATTAAGTTTGTTGCTGAATCTGATTGTTTTAATATTTTTTCAAAATAGATAAACCTTATCTTCCTTCTATAGAATTAGTTTCTCAATCCTCTTGGAATTTGTATATTGTATTATTCATTTTTGAATGAATTATAATTCTAATCGGAGTTCTTTCTGAACTTTCTTAATCTTTTTAATTCTTTTGTTTGCAGTTTCTATATCTGCTTCTAGTAGTACTTTGTAATAAGCTATTAGATTGTATTTATAGAATATAAAGAATAATGATTTCTTTATTATACTTGTATCTGCATTATTATAAGCAAACTATATAAGAAATAATAGATTAATTCAGTTATTCTATTTCTAATTAATATAATATTATAAGTATTATTTAATAACTTAATTCATTCTTTCTGTTTATTTATCTGTTTATAAGTAAAATGCTGTGAATATTCTGTAGTATATTCCGAGCTGTTTCATAAGCAAAGTTCAAAACTTTGAATTGAACTTTCTATTTCTATTGAAGATTACTTTCTCTAGCATGCTATGATTAGCAATAATCATTCTGAGGAATGTATATACAAGTTCCTCTGCTATACTGCTTTTCTTATAGGAGAGAAAATAAGCATACTTGCTTAGTTTGCAAACTACTACTAAGATACTATTATATTGCATCTTAGTTAAAAGTTCTTATAAAAGAAATAGCTTAATAATAAAGTTTAAACTAATGAATTGCTAAATAGTTATAAGTACTGATAAGAAGTATAGTAATCTATAAAGCTTATATCTTTCTATCTTATTCTTCTTGCAGCTATTGCATTATTATAGAATATTCTCAATTCTTTTCCTAAAGCTTAATAAATTTTAATATCTTTTAATACATTTATAAATTGCTCTAATTCCCTGATATTCATATGCTAGTATACTGTATACATTCTTAATATAATTATCTTATTCATCTGAAATCATTGATTCTGAATTCTTCTCTAAGAGTTTAATTCTGAAGATAGCATTCAGTTCTCTATATGCATTAACAAGATCTTCTAACTCGTTTTGAACAAAAATGTTCTATATATTCGAGGAATCTGTATCTCGATAGTCTATTCTTCTGCTAAAAGTATCTGCTTATTCGTTTTCCGAGCTTTTGCAATATACAATTTTGAAATCGAATTGTAAAAGGAATTCTGCTTATCTAACTTATTGCTTATTCAAAACCTTAGTTATTATGAATATAATTAGATTCTTGTAATCTAAATAAACTATGATTAAATATTATATGCTAATGAGATAGTATTGCTATTTCTTGAAAGCTTTTATTATTATTATAAGTTTCTAATTAGGGATTTTATAGTTGATTTCCAAGCTATTCAACTTCTTTGAGAAGTTGCTTACAATCCTTAGATACTCTTAGTTATCTTGCTAGCTAAGTTGTTCTCTGAGTGTATATTCTGATATATCAGTCTTAACTTCAAAGAGTTTATAAAAGTCTGCTTTATACAGAACTAGCTCTAAGGTAATGTACTTGATAATCTTATCAAAAGCTTCTTATACTCTGAAGATTCATTTGAAGGATTGATTCCTTTTAGTAAGATTTGTAAGAGAATATATAATTCAGCTATAATTCTTGATAAACTGTTTATAGAAGTTAATATATTCGAGAAAAAACCTAATATTCCTAACATTCTTAAGAATTAGCTAGTTTCTAATAGCTTCTATCTTATTCTTCTGTAGCTTAATACATCTCAGCTCAATTATAAATCCGAGATAGTTAACTTTTTGTATGTGAAAGTAGCTCTTTGCAAGCTTTACAAGAAGCTTCGCATCCTGAAGTGTTTGCAATACTATTTCCATATATTTCTTATATTCTTCCAATATTCAAGAGTAAATAAGAATATTGTTAAGATAAGCAATAATAAACTGATTTAGATATTTGTATAGAATATAATTAATCATTTTCTGAAATAAAGCTGAAGTATTCGTTAAACTAAAAAGCATAATCAAATATTTGTAGTATCTGTAGCATATTCTGAAAGCAGTTTTCTATTCTTCTCCTTCTTTTATTCTAATCAGATTATAAGCTTCTTTTAGATCTAGAATTATAAATCATTATACTCCTTATAGCTTATCTTATAATTCCTTAATAAGTAGTAACGAATATTAGTTCTTAATTATAATATTATTGAATTGCTTATAGTTAATATATAGCTTAAGCTTGCTATTTTTCTTAGATATAAACAGAATAGAGTATTCTGCTGATAATTGCAATAATTATATATATCCTTTCTTAAGATTCTTGTTGAGATACTTCCTAAGTGCTTCTAGCTATATCTTATTTAATTCATAGATAGAAAAGAACTTAAGCTATTTTCCTTCTTATAGCAGGATCTTATAATCATATAAGCTGTATTTCAGTAGTCCTATATCCAATTCTCTCTGGAATAGTTTCTTAAATTTGTAATATTTCTATAATATATTTGCAAGTATTGGTTCTGATTTCTATGCTATTTCTGCTATCTGGAGGAATAATAGGTACTATTAAGCATGCTTTTTTTCTGATAGCGTTTTCGAAAGCTTTAAGCGTTCGCTCCGAGCTGAACCAAGCGCTTAAGAGCCTAATTTCGAGATTTTTCCCGTATAAGTTTACAATTCATATTCTGAAGCTTGTTCTTATCGCTCTGAAGCAGACCAACTTGCTGAAAGTCTTGCTTCCATTATTTTGCTAATCTGTTAATGCTCTAATACTGTTTAAGTTTGCTTATTACTAGATTCTTCTCCTTGAACTGCTAGCTCTGCTAACTTGAAAGTATGTATGAAGTTGTATAAAGCTTCTTTTTCTGAGTATTCTTCAATTACTAGCTTCAATTCTGTGCTATTGATTATAATTATCTCTCTAGATACAGCTTGTTCTTATAAGATCTAGCTAGTAGTTTAATCAATTCGAGAATTATACTTCTTAAGCTATAAAAGCTTTATAATCAGCTTATACTATGCTATATTCATAATATTAAAGGAAGCTCTGATTATGCATTCTTGAATTAAGATAAATAGATGATTAATCTTCTTATTGATTACTCCTTAGTTGTATGTAATAGGTTGTTCTTTTATGATGCTAAGAATATATAAGCATTTCTTTCATTTTCATTATAGTTATGCTTGATTAATAATATATAGGAATATAAAGTTTTCCTAAGCGCTACTATTCAATAGTATGCTATATTTATATCCTTGAATATATATATTGAACTTAATATAAGCATAATTTATTCTAAAAGCTTTATATAGAAACTGTTTCAATCTAATTATCTGCAGTTCCTTTACAAGCAATTCTATTCTTTTAAATTTATTAAGAACTATCTATTCTTCTAAGCTTGCTTTGCTGCTTCTTAAGCAAGCTTCTTAGCTTATTTTTGCTTATATTATTATTATTTCTAATCTTTCTTCTATTAATACTAATTGCAAATCTTATTATTAATATAAATTATATAAAGTATTATTTTGCATTATTATCATTTTATTTTCTTATTTATACATTGCATAGAGCAATTATCTAGTAATCTAATATATATATTGTAATGCTGTTTATTGAGAATCTTTCTAAAGCAGAGTTCTTATTCTTCAATAGCTTGAAGAATTTATTCCGATTTTCTAATAAAGAACTATTCGTATTGCATTTTGTTTGAGAAATGCATTCTGCAGCTATAATAGATACAAAAGATTCAAATTAGTTTATAGTATAGATTGTAAAGTAAGCTAATCTAAGAATTCTTATCTTCTTATATCTCGATGCTTTGCAAGAGAATGTAGATAAAAAGCTTCTCTAACTCTATTCTATAAATAAGATATTTAATTCATATTGTTTTCTTATTCTATTCAATACTGAAGGAGAATCTTTCTATAAGCTTCTTGGATTTGTTATTTATAGAAAACTCTGATGAATTATTAGATTGTTTATTTTAGTTTAATCTTTTCATTGCTTGAGAAGCATTTTTAGTATTATTTAGATATTTATATTAATAACTAAAAGAGTACTATTCTTTATTCATTTCTCTGGTTATAATATCTGATATAGATAATAAAGAATAGCGAAGAATACTATTATTAAGCTCTTTCTTCAGCGCCTGAATGCTTTGTTCAATAATATCGAAGCAGTTCGAGTTATTGCTGCTTGTAATTATGCTGAATATATACTCTCGCTCTGCTGTTGCTATCTGCCTATAGCGCTTAGATTTCTAAAAGAACTATTCTAAATCTTCCTTACTCAAGAGATATATTAAGCAGTTATTATTATAGCAGAATATTTAGCTGAAACTTCTATAATTAATAGAGTTCGATACTTGCTTCAAGAGAGTATTTTTGCTCAGTTGATTAGATTTCTATTATCAAGCAATATTCATTTAGCATTCTTTCTAAACTAATTGCTATTTGTTCTTTCGAAGTTAATAGCAGTTGTATATAATATATTCTTATTTATTGCAATTATAGCAAGTAATACTATTTCTCTTGCTATACTGCTTATTAGTAGCATCAAGTTTTATAAAATCTGCATATATAGTGCTATTCTAAGCTATACTGCTCTATTATTTGCTATTCTTATATTAGAGTTTCTTGCTTATATTAGCTAAAAATCTCTAAATCTAGCTTTCTTTCTTTTTAAACTTCTTTATTCATTGCTCATATAGATAATTATTAATACAGATTGCTTAATTAGAGAATATTGCAAAGTTCTCTAGCTAATTCTGCTTGAAAATCTTATTCTTAATATTATTCTTAAATCTCTTATAATAATATTCTATAAGATTCTTATCTTTCTACAGAAATTTTGCTAAAAGCTGCTTAAATCTGATTATATAAGCAGAAGCTAACTTAGTTTACTTGAGATTCATAAGCTGCTAAGCTATAATGCATTCTTCATTAGAATTACCAAAGATCTTCTTAAAAGCTTTTTCAAAGCTTTTAAAGGAATTAAATATATTCTTAATATTCTGAATATATGCATTAGGATTATTCTGATGCTTCAAGTGATTGTATAGAGAAGGCTTGTATTAAATGAGGATATTCTTTTTGAAACGAGTTTCTGCAAGAATAATCTTTTCAGATTCTATAGTAAACTGAGTTGTATAATACAAAAAGTATGCTTTGCAGTAAATAAGGAATTCATATAGTGTTTTTTGATTGCTGTTATATATAGCAAGCTTATTCATTTTGTATGCTTTTTCAGCGCTACTAATAGTTGCAAAGATAAACTATGCCTGCTGAGCCTGCTAAGCTAGCTGAGCTTGTTAATTAGCGATAGTAGCGCTTTGAGCCTGCTGTTGTTTATACAGATCCTGAATATGCTGAGTAAGCTAATACATCTGATTAACTAATTCTTCCTAAGTAGAAGCATGCAAGAATAAAGAGATTTCTAGAAAAGCTATTATATTCCGTATTGCTTAAGAGAGTAATACTGAACTATTCTTAAACAAGAATTATCAAAATATAATAAGTATTGCAGCAATCCGAAGATTCCTAAGTATACAAAAAGATTTATACTAATAAGAGCAATATCAAAGTACTAAGTTCTTAAATACAAAACTATACAAGTCTTAATAAGCAATACAAGTATTTACTGCTTTTAGAGCTACTTAGTATATAAAACTGAATACTTAGATTGATAACTGAAAAGCTATATACTAAATTCATCTAATAGTAATAAATGTATTCTTATATATTCAGCTCTTTAGTATAGCTCATTGGAATTGCTAGCAAGTTTAGCGATTCAAGATATAAAGCTTGTTAGAATCGCTAGCGAGCCTAATGATTCTTCCTTCTTTACAACTCTAACTCTGAGTTATGTAATTAATGCTTTGTTAGAACGTTGGGTTCTTGATATCTGGTTCTTGTTACTCGTGACTTGTTTTCGTAACCTGCATGTTGGATGAGTTATAATACTTAGTTTATTGCAATTATAACAGTTTTAATTATACATTTTCTTCATAGTTGCATTTAATTCTATAAATCTAGCATAAATACTTTCATTCTATGCTATACTCTATCAAAAGTTTTTATTCTAATTTCAGAATTGAAACTTTTTGCTAATATTTGGTTACAATTACTATATAAATTAGCTTTCTTTCTTCTTAAACTTCTCTATTTATTGTTTATAGAAATAATTATTTATTCTAATAGCTGCATTTGAAAATATTATAAAATTCTCAAGCTATTCTTATTTTATAATTTTATTCTTAATTTCATTCTTAAGTTTCTTATAATAATATTCAATGAAATTCTTATTTTCCTATAGAAATTATATAGGAAGCTGCTTGAATTTAATTATATAAGCTAATACTAATTTAGTCTGCTCAAGATTTATTAACTGCTTAGCTGCTATATATTCTTTATTAGAATTACTAAAAATATTCTTAAAAGCTTTCTTAAAACTCTTAAAGAAATTAAATATTTTCTTAGTAGCTCTAGCATATATATTAGAATTATTAGCATATTTTAGATAATTGCAAAAAGAAGATTTATATTAAATAAGAGTATTCTTTTCAAAGCAAATTTTAATAAGAATAATCTTCTTGGATTTCATAATAAACTAAGAAGTATTATGCAAGAAATATATCTTGTAGTAAATAAGAAATCTCTAAAAAAAGTTTCTAAATGCTATTATATATAATAAGCTTATTTATCTTATAGCTTTTATATATAAGAATTTAGAAGCTATACTGAATTTGTTTCTACTAAGCTTAAATAATGCTTTCTTGCTAATACTAGTTTAGCTAAAGTTCTTTAATATGCTGAATAAGAAAGCAAATCTAGCTAACTAGATTCTTCTGCATGAATTAATATAAGAATAAGAAAGAGATTTCTGAAGCTATTATATTCCGTATTATTTAGGAGAATAATATTAAACTATTCTTAAATAAGAATTATTAAAATATAATAAATATACTGCAATATTCAAAGATCTGAAGTATATAAAAAGTTTATGCTAATAAGAGCAATATTAAAGTAGAATTTACTAAATATAGAATATAATTATAATTTATACAAATACTATTTATTCATTTTTAAAGCTATTTAAATATATAATAAATAAACACTTAGATTAATAACTAAAGAGCTATATTCTAATAATCTATCTAGTAATAATGAATATATTCTTATATATCTAGCTCTTTAGTATGAATTGATAAATCTTCTGAATAATTCATTAATTCATAATATAAGGCTCTGAGGATCTCCTGAGTAATTCATTAATTCATGATATGAGGCTCTGAGGATCTCCTGAGTGATTCATTAATCCTCCTCCTATTACAACCCTAATCTTGAGTTATGTAATACTGCTTGTTGTTTAACGCTAGGTTGCAACACCTGGTCTTCGTTAGCGGAGCTTTTCCTGTAACCTGCGTGCTGAATGAGTTATAATACAGTTGTTATTATAGCAGAATATTTAGCTAAGACTTCTATAATTAATAGAATTTAATACTTGTTTCAAGAAAATGTTTTTGCTCAGCTGATTAGATTGCTATACTTATATTATATTAAGCTATTATTCTTTGAAAATAGATTTTTATTATCAAAGCTTTCTAAGCTAATAATAATCTTGTATAATATAGCTTAGCTTATTATAATTATAATAATTCTAATTATATATTTTCCTTATAATTACATTTAATTCTATAGATTCAGCATAAGTACTTTTACTTTGTACTATTATTATAACCCATCCAACATGCAGGTCACAGGATAGGCCCCACCAACCAAGGGACCAGGTATCACGACCCAACATCGGATACCAATCAGGATTATGTAACCCGGGTTAGGATTACTAATGCAATTATGTTAACTATGAACATAGTCAACATATTTAGGAAACGACTATAAGGAATCGGAACATAGTCAGGATAGTCAGAACTGAAGAGCTGGATATATAAGAACACGTTCATTACCATTAGATAGATTCAGTATGTAGCTCTTCAGTTATCAATCTAAGTATTTAGTCTTCTATACTGAGTAGCCCCAAAGGCAGTGAATACTTGCATTGCTCATCAGAACTTGTACGGTTCCGTATTCAAGAACTTGACACTTTGATACCGCTCTTGTTAGCATAAACCTCTTGTGTACTTCGGAATCTTCGGATTGCTGCAGTGCTCATTACAACTATGCTCTATTAAAAGCTTCTGTTCTAGCTTTGGAATTGAAGCTTTTTGCTAGTATTTAGCTGCAATTGCTATATAGATTAGCTTTTTCTTTTCTTAAACTTTTCCATTTATTATTTATAAAGATGATTATCAATTCTAATTGCTATATTTATAAATATTGCAAAGTTATTAAGCTAATCTTATTTAAAAATCTTATTCTTAATATTATTCTTTAATTCTTAATAATAATAATTAATAAGATTCTTATTTTTCTATAGTAATTATACTACAAGTTGCTTAAACTTTATTATATATACTAAAGCTAATTTAGCTTATTATAATTCTATTAGCTGCTAAGCTATAATACATTTCTTATTAGAATTATTAAAGATTTTTCTAATAGCTTTCTTAAAGCTTGCAAAGAAATCGAATATCTTCTTAATACTTTTAATATATGCATTAGAATTATTAGTATATTTCAGATAATTACAAAGAGTAAGCTTATACTAGATAAGAGCATTCTTCTTAAGATATATTCTAGCAAGAATTGCTTTCTCAGATTCTGTAGTAAACTAAGATATATTATACAAGAAGTAAGCTTTATAATAAGTAAGGAATTCTTGAAGAAGTTTCTAAGTATCATTATATATAGTAAGCTTATTTATTTTATAGCTTTTATATATAAGAATCTGAAAGCTATACTGAATCTGTTTCTACTAAATTTGAATAATGCTCTTCTGCTAATGCTAGCTTAGCTAAAGTTCTTTAATGCGCTGAGTAAGAAAGCAAATCTGGTTGATTAGATCCTTCTGCATGAATTAATATAAGAATAAGAAAGAGATTCCTAGAGCTATTATATTTCGTATTATTCAAGAGAATAATACTGAACTATTTTTAAATAAGAGTTATCAAAATATAATAAATATACTATAATATCTAAAGATCTGAAGTATATAAAAGATTTATGCTAATAAGAGCAGTATTAAAGTAGAATTTACTGAATATGGAAATATAACTATAATCTGTATAAGTGCTAATTATTCGCTTTTGAAGCTATTTAAGTATATGTAATGAGCACTGCAGTAATCCGAAGATTCCAAAGTATATAAAGGAGTTTATGCTAACAAGAGCGATATCAAGTATAAGCCTTGAATACAGAAATACAACTGAGATAATGATGCAAGTATTTACTGCCTTTGGAGCTATCAGAATAGGAGAGTAATCTGATATTTAGATTGATAACTGAAGAGCTATATACTGAAGCTATCTAATAGCAATGAATGTATTCTTATATATTCAGCTCTTTAGTTCTAACTATTCTAACTATATTCCGATTCCTTATAATCGTTCTCTGAATATATTAATTATATTTATAGCTAATATAGTTATATTAGTAATTCTAACTCTGGATTATATAATTACTGTTAGTTATTCGATGTTGAATTGTAACTCCTAGTTCTTTGTTTGATAGATTCCTTCTGCAATCTGCATATTAAATAAATTATAATATTATTTCTCTTTTATTAGTTATTATTCTTAATAATCTTTCATAAGTATTCTAATATATTATCTCTATATATAATCATGCTTTTCTAATTTATTATATTGAATAGAATCAACAAATCTTATATTTGCAAATTCTTCTTTATTCCAAAAAGTATTCAAAATCGAAATCTTCTAGTTTCTCACCTTCTAAAGAGTTTTATTAAAATGCCCATCTATTCTTATTATAAGAAGTATAGTTTTGAATTCTGCAAGATATTTTCTGGAAACTTTTTCTATTGTATCAAATGTATTCGTCTGAATTATTCCAAATGCAATATTATAAGTTCTTTTTCTAAGAAGCTTTGCAATATTGCTATCCAACATCAGAAGTTGGAGGATAAGATTAAGAGAAAGGAAACTAAGCTTCTCTGCTTGCATTAATAGAAATAGATATAATCCAAGAAGATGAAATGTATCTTGTATTGTAGCATTACTTGTATAGAGGAATTGGATTATATTAAGGCTGAAGAGGAGCGCTGCTATGCTGTTGTAGTTATGCAGAAGATAGCTCTTAAGAAGGCTGCTGTAATAGCTAGGGATTCTTTCTTTGAGAGGTTTAATTGGAATTCTGTGAATGTAAGGAATTCTGTAGTAAACTGATTTGGTTTTCTGGAGAGTGGGATTTCTAAAGCTTCTGGATTTCGGTTCGAGGCGGAATAATCGTTCTAGATGCTAGTTTCTTTTCCTTTTTTCAATACTCAGCTATTTTTTTCTAAGTATTTACAATATTTCTCTGTAATTTCTATAAATTCTCGCTTGCTAAGTAATCTTTTCATTTGATAAGATATTCTCTTATATAGTTTATACTTCTATACTTAAGAATCTTTTTAATCTTATACTCTGATTTATTATTTTCTACTTCTGCTATATTGTTTATTAGTATTTCTTATACTGCTAATTCTAGCAGTAAGATATAAAATACTAAGTATATTCTTATTTTATAAGATAATGCTAATTTATAGCTAATTAGAGAAATCTATTACAAGATTTTAAATAGTTCTAGCTTCTTATAATTAAGTTTATTATTAGATCTAGTTATCTTAATATTTTTCTGAAGTAGATAAATCTTATCTTTTTTTTATAGAATTAGTTTCTTAATTCTTTTGGAGTTTGTATATTATATTATTTGTTTCTGAATGAATTATAGTTCTAATTAAAGTTCTTTCTAAGCTTTCTTAATCTTCTTAATTCTTTTATCTGCAGCTTTTATATCTGCTTCTAGTAATACTTTATAATAAGCTATTAGATTATATCTATAGAATATAAAGAATAATAATTTCTTTATTATACTTATATTTGCATTATTATAAGCAAATTGTGCAAGAAATAATAGATTAATTTAATTATTCTATTTCTGATTAATATAGTATTAAAGATATTATTTAATAATCTGATTTATTCTCTCTATTTATTTATCTATTTATAGATAAAATGCTATAGATATTCTGTAGTATATTCTAAGCTGTTTTATAAGCAAAGTTCAGAATTTTGAATTAAACTTTCTATTTTTGTTAGAGATTACTTTCTTTAGTATGCTGTAGCTAGCAATGATTATTCTGAGGAATATATATACAAGTTCTTTTGCTATATTGCTTTTCTTATAAAGGAAAAAGTAAGTATATTTGCTTAGTTTGTAAATTATTACTAGAATGCTATTATATTGCACTTTAGTTAAGAGTTCTTGTAAAAGAAATAGCTTAATAATGAAGTTTAAACTGATAGATTGCTATATAGTTGTAAGTATTAATAAAGAGTATAGTAGTTTATAAAGCTTGTATCTTTCTGTTTTATTCTTTTTGCAGCTATTGTATTGTTATAAAAGATTTTCAATCTTTTTCCTAAGATCTGATAAGCTCTAATATCTTTTGATATGCTTATAAATTACTCTAATTTTCTGATATTTATATGCTAGTATGCTATATATATTCTTAATATAATTATTTTGCTTATCTGAAGTTATTAATTCCGGATTCTTTTCTAAAGATCTGATTCTAAAGATAATATTCAGCTTCTTATATACATTAATAAGATTTCCTAATTTATCTTGAATAAAGATATTCTATATATTCAAGGAATTTATATCTCAGTAATCTAATCTTCTGCTGAAAGCATCTATTTGTTTATTCTTTAAGCTTTTGTAATATATAATTCTGAAATCAAACTATAAGAGAAACTCTGCTTATCTAACTTATTACTTATTTAAGATCTTAATTATTATAAATATAATTAGATTCTTATAATCTAAATAAACTATAATTAAATATTATATATTAATAAGATAGTATTATTATTTCTTAAAAGCTTTTACTATTATTATAAGTTTCTAATCTAGAATTCTATAGTTGATTTCTGAGCTATTTAATTTTCTTGAAAAGTTACTTATAATTCTTAGATATTCTTGATTATCTTATTAACTAAGTTATTCTCTGAATATATATTTCGATATATTAGTTTTAATTTGAAATAGTTTATAGAGATCTGCTTTATATAGAATTGATTCTAAGATAATATGCTTAATAATTTCGTTAAAAGCTTCTTATATCTTGGAGATTTATTTGAAAAGCTACTTTTTCTTAATAAAACTTGTAAGAAAGTATGCAATCCAGCTATAGTTTTTAATAAACTGTTTATAGAAGTTGATATATTCAAGA